TCCCAGCACGCAGGAATTTCTAAACTAGGAAGTTCTGTATTTGCCTTTTGGGTATTGTTGAAAGAAACATATAACTATGTGATGGCAAGACATAATATGGGATCTGAGAACCCCATGAGACCTTTTAGATACTCATTTGCTCCACATAAGGAATTATTTTACACTTGAAGTTTAATAGAAACTTGTGATCATGATTTTCAATGTAATGCATCATCCTACTTGAGAGAAATTCCTTCCCTTTCCCAAGACCAGATGCCCCAATGCCTTGTAAACAGTAATGAAGTGCCTGACTCTTATGAAGCACACTTGTAGGAGCACAATAAAAATTCATAACTCCAGGAAACTGCTTATAGCAATTTGAAGTGCTGGGAAGTTATATCTCAATAAATAAAACAGATTCACACTTTCTGGTTTGGTTTTTTCTTTTTTGACATCACGTGGTTCTGTCTCAAAAGTTTAAATGAAGTTATAATGAGTGTAATGTAATGAGTGTAATTTCTCATCTTCCAAACCAACTCTGATCCCAAAAGAAAAACATTGTCTGATTCAAAGTTAAACGGCTCTGGCATCGTTTATTGATTCTCAAAAAGCTTAACTGGATTTCAAGTTGCTCTAAAAGTGATTGTCATTGCTGATACTAAATTAGAAGTAATCAGACCAGGTTCAGAAGAGTAAACAAAAAAGTACAAGTGACCCAGCTCACATGGATATTCAGCTATTCCAGATGCCTGGGAAATATCCCTTGCTTGAACACATTCCAGGCAGAAGATGGACATTAGATGGCAAAATCATTTGACAATATTTTAGCTAAGTTTTTTTTAGAATTGTGATTGAATTTAATAAATGCTCATTAAATTTTTCATGAGTTCTAAAATATACAAATTCCCCAATGAAGAGGAATTTGGGTTGTTTTTTATTTTTTTTCCCCTCAAGATAGATGACATAATTATTTTATTACTCTGACATTCACTGTAATGGGAATGTAAAAGTTCTATTACTCCAGTTGAAAGTGTTTAATATTCCACTTTTTGGAACACAAGAATATAAATCTTTTTTTCATTTTCTGTTAACAGGCAGTTGAATAGAAAACATTACTGACTGACGTTTATATTAATGAGGCTAAATAAAAACACAGATGGCTTCTGCTAAGTGAAGGAACTGAAAGTAATGATGTGCTATCTTAAGCCACTGTCCTGCAAAATCAGGGACCAGGATAAACAGAAATCTGATTATTCTAGCTGAGCAAGAAAGCCCAGATAAACACAGCCTCTCTCTGCCTAAATTCTTGTCTGTACTGAAAAAAAAAAGAAATAAAAAAGAAAAAAAAATTCTTTTTAAAGAAGAGTTGTCAATAATTTGAAGTAGTACTTGAATTTTTCTACACAAAACAGTGATTCAACACCACTTTGGAAGACAGTATTGAGATGAAAGCTTTTAGAAAAAATGAGAGCAATAGATTGAGTTAAAGAATCTAGAGCTGTGAAATGAAACTTCAGGTGTAGGCCTTTCAGTGGCCCAAAGAATGACAAAACAAGAGCAAGGATGAGTTATCCTTGTGTCACTGGTTTTTCCCTAGCCAATCAATATGGTATTCAAAATGAACCAGCAGGACCTGAAAATATTGTATCCTGATATGTGTTTCTCTCATGCATCAGATTTCCTTAAAAAGAAGCAACCCAACAAAAAAGTTTGTAAAAAAAATCTTATGAAGGTTCAATAGGTTCAGATAGTTCCATTTTGAAATTAACACAGTCAATCAGAATTTTAACATAAATATAAAATTATAATAGTATATAAAAATTAAAGAAGTTTCCATTTGTTTGTAAACTCTCATCTATGCAAAATGGTTGAAAATTTACATCAAAATGCATCAGATTATTACTGATACTAACTGTAATTCTGCAGAAAATGAATACTTTTTCCCTTAGCTCAGAGTCTATTATACCATACATACAACTTCATTGATCTTAACAATGTGTCGCTTAACACTACAATTTAGGAATGACAAAAATGAAAGCCTAAATTATTCTCTTAATAAGGAATTTTCTGAAAAACATTCAGTAGTTTTAGCATTTTCTGGGTGTGTTTATGTTGGCTATGTGTGTAGCTCTGATTTTGTTGCTAAAGGTTTTTCTTCTGCAAGATCTCACTTTTTAGAGTACTGAAAAGACCTCTGAAGAAAGGTTCATTTAAAAGGAAAAGAATGTATGGCAAAAGAGTTACATTTGTTTCTGAAACCCTAGTCCCTACTGGATTTTTGTCATGGATGGATGGATGGATGGATAGATGGATGGATGGATGGATGGATGGATGGATTTCCAACCATTTCAATACCAAGGAGTCAAAGAAATTATTGAACAGAAAAGTTGTTGTGATTGCAAATTATTAGTCTATATCTTAGGATTTTTATATATAATTTCTTTTTATAGGACTTAGTCCAAACTAGATTTTAAATGCCTTAAGTGCAGGACTCTTTCCATTTGCAGAGACTAATAGATCTTCATTTCAGCATTTTTCATTATATCCTAACTGATTTTTTTTTTCAACTTCATCCAGTTATCTGTTTTTGTACACCCTGGAGACATAGTAAATAATTTCTTTCCCTGTTTCTCCAGGTACCATTCAAATAACAATAAAGAGTTGCAGCTTCAATTTAGTCAAATTTACTTTTTATTTTTTAAATCTTCACACACACCCACACGTTTAACATCACATCTCTTCATTCTCCATTAAGATCTCAAATGCAAAAGAGGCAGATGAGAGACACATCAGGGGTAGGTGGGGACCCTCAAATATTGCTGATACTTGAGAAACAACTGCATTGTCTCTGGATGAAAAAAAGCCTCCTCTGCAGGTTGCTTTTAGGAAGAGCATCCTGCTTTTGGCAAGTGAGATGAGTGGCAACAAAAACCACATCTCCCCTGAGCATTCAGCTGTTTGAGACAGGAACAGTTTCCAAATGAGTCTTTGCTCTGGAATATTTTCTTCAAGTTCCTTAAGGAGAGGTTAGCTGAAAATTTTATTCTGATCTTTCCATTGTTCATAATTTAATTTTTTCATTTGTCACTACCTAAGCTGGTTCTGGGTGGTTTGGGTGATAATTTCTGTATTGGAGTCCTCTCTATGCTGCTCTGTTATACTCTGGAGTGTTATCCTCTCTCTGTTACTCTCTTATACAACCTCAAAAGCCATCATTCTCTTTTATGAGTTGGCAGGAACCCCTCCCTCTGCACACCTATGGAAAATAGATCTCAAAATGTCATGCCTTATCCATGTATACATAATAAAAGACTGTCCAAGTAATAATGTGGAATGTGAAGTTCTTCCTCTTATTGGTGATCAAGGAGGCAGCAGTGCTGTTTTGCACTTCTCAGATTAATCATATTCTCATTTTGGCCAATATTCTTTGAAGCTCTCTACTACTTGCAGAGCTTCTATTGAAATATATGGAGTGGGAAAAAGGAAAGAATCAAGGAAGAAAAAAAATATAGCTATTCCATCTTAAGTCTAGAATAATTTATGCTGCTGTATCAATTTATTAGCATTGATCTTTGTGTAGAAATTCTCCTTATATCAGTAGAAAAGGAATGAGGATAAAACATGGTCCATGAAATTGTCTTTTACTTAAGAGTTTTTAGACAAAGTAGCAGATTTTGCTATTAATATATTTTCAACCATAATGCACAACTCTTTGGAAAAAAAATGGTAAAGAAATCTAAAGCAAAGGACATATGGCACAGGGCAAGGAAGTGACAAAAGCCCCGAGACCCATGCTAAATGAGAGATAAAAATTTAACTCTCTTTTCAGAGTGGATATGCACGGTTATAACAAAATTTTGTCTATTGTCTTTGAATTTACAACAGATACATATACCTGGATATCAGATAATTTGCTAAAGAAATTCTCTCTTCTGTTCCTGTTTGAACCTCCTATATATGTTTAGCCACTGAAAAACAGTATCATGGACTTGAAAGAAGTGATACTGTTTTGCTATGCTGGTTAGTTTTATAAATATTCTCCTTGAATTAATGAAAGAAAACCAGAAAGAAGAACACAGAGCCGGTAGACCTGCCATCTTCTATGATGCTACTGGAATAATTAAGGAAGAATTTTGGGTCTGCTAATTTTAGACAGTATTCTAGAGAATATTGTTCAACCTAATACAACAATTTAGCTGAAAAAATAGTGACATAATTGACAAAATTACATAATAATTACAGTGCTTTAGAGTCAGCTATACTAAAGCATGACTCATCACTCAATACATAAGAAGTCACAGAAATACGTCACATCCAGCAGTGCAGTTGCAGTGCAGTATAGTGGAGCTGCAGCCAAAGAAGAAATTTTAAATCAGCAATCTTTTGTTAAGTGGGGGAGCTGGGGAATTAATGGAAAGTATGACTATGAATTTTGTTTTACTTTAATGAATTAAGCAGTGACAAAGAATACTTGTACAATTGCAATTAAGATTTGCAGCCTTTTAAGAAAAATATCTAATACATGTTACTATTTGAACCTCACATATCTTCTGGCAACACTTGTAATAGTTTGCTTTATTGAGGAAGGAGAACTATTCTACTCCTCAGCTGGGGAAATGATTGGTGAAGTGGAAAAGCAATGATGGAATTTTCTGAGATAATTAAATTTTTTTATTAGAATACTTTATCAATGATCTTTTTGAAAGAAAAGCTGTACAGTGTAACAGCCAAGCATAAAACACTAAACTTCCTATGAAACATTTTGAATGACCTTCTGTAATAGCATTCATTTGAAAATAATACTTTTAAAAACTGCAGAATCTGAAAATCTTTCCCTTGAATAAGCTTTACTTGTTATGCAAAAGATACATATGACTTTTATAAATTTCCTATATATTAATACCTTTCTTGACAATAAACTAACCCGCAGTTAAAGATATTGTTCAACAGCAAGATTATACATCATTAGAAAAGTTACAATGATAAGATTTTCTATTAGAAATGTGATGGTTTGTACTTACCAGGTGTAAAATTATACCGAGCAGAAAACCCAATAGATTCCAGTTCAGCATCAGCAAAAAATTTAATCCACAGGAATCTGCCACTGGATTTTATCATAGGTGGATTTTGCTGTCCACAGAAACGTCCAAGGATTGGGGAAAAGCCAAAAGGTCCATCTCGTACTTCTATGTGGTCAAATTTACACTCCCAAGAAGGCTCTATGGAATATTTTTCATCAAAGTGTAGTTCAATGCATTGTCTAGGAGCAGCTAGGGACCAAAAAGAAAATTATCTTATTATTTTCTAACTCAAGACCCTTCAAAACTAAAACAAAACTGAATAAAAAAAATTTATTAGTTTTGTATGGATCCTAAAATTTTGTTTAAAAACTTGTACAAAAATTAGTACATCTATATTATTTTAAATTAAAAGTTAGTACATCTATATTTTCTATAGCTTTCACAATGTCAGGTTATTTGTCTGTTGTTCTCCTTTAAAAAAGTATTCTTGACAGCAGTGCTTAGTAAAGCTAAGAGAGAGATATCGATGATGAACAGAAAAATATAGCCAGGGATAATTTCTTCAAATATAAACTAGAAAATGTTTCTAAGAAACTTACATATTTAGAAAAATATATTTTTTCTCTTGTATTTTGTGGAGGGGTGTTAATCAGAATACTTTTTTAATACCTAGTACTGAGAAAAATGATGAGGAAAAGGCTGATCAGAACTGTGCTGCAGTGAGGACAGACTATCTTCCTATATGTGTTGCAGCCAATGACAAACTGAAGTGTAATTCCATATACCCAGAATTACTTCTCATTAGAAACGTAAGAACAAATGCAATGAATTCTCACTTAAGAAATAAGGATCCTGGATAAGGATTATAATTGAAGAGCAAATGATATACTGAAAATCTTGAAGGAATTTCATTGTGGCCATTTAAGTAGACATTTTAAAAAATCCATCTTTAATGATAGGTCTTAAGTCTAGAGATGATTGGAACGATCTCTAAAACAAATATTTCCTGGCATTTCCTCTATAGAGAAAAAAAAAAAAAAAAAAAAAAAAAAGTAACTGGTAGAAATATAATATTTTCTTACAAGGAGGAGGAAAATCCTGGCTTGATCAATACATTCTATGAGAGGCAAGCTCCTAGAGGTGCACTGTTTTCTATGCTTTATCCTGGCCATAGGAGAAGCTGTGTGCCTCCGTGTCTAGAGCATGGTGCACTGGAGCCTTTTGCTGACAAAGCCTTCTGCTAAGACAAGGATTTGTTATGTCATTGCCTGCTGTGCCTCTCATGGGATCATGTCCTACACTTTACACATATCAAAAGAGGTTTGCATTACCATGAGCTTTGCCAGAGTTACCATTTTTTTCACAAGAAAATATGAAAGATCAAGCTCCATGCCGAATTATTAACATGGAAACTGCTTAATGTCCTACACATTACACATATCAAAAGAGGTTTGCATTACCATGAGCTTTGCCAGAGTTACCATTTTTTTCACAAGAAAATAATGAAAGATCAAACTCCATGCCGAGTTATTAACATGGAAACTGCTTGGCATGGAAACTGTTGCCACTCCAGGAGTCAGTATCTCTACATTTATTTCCTCAAGAGTAATAAGAAAACTGTCAGTGTCACAAGAATAAAGATCTTGTTTGGATTCTGAAATGTTTTAAAGTGAAGCTTTTGTTATGAACTCATTATTCACGTAAGGCGAGAGACTATTTAAAATTAACTGAGTAAGAAGATATCAGGTAAATTTTGAAATCTTTATATAAGAGCACATAGTCAGATCCCTCTTATGACTATTCCATGTAAATAAATATGGCCTCATTTTATAAGAAGCATTTGAGAAGTAAGCTAATAAAACACCTTATTTGGAAAGAAAGAATATTTTAACAGCTTTACTTACAATACTAATGTAACTGGATGATTGATATTTATTGAAACATTTAACTGAACATAAAAAGAAACCTTTTCTACTGTTCTTAATTTGAAGACATTCACATTCAGGGAAAAACTAGTGACTTGTCATTATTTATACTAATTTACAGGAAATTTGTGATCTTTATGCCCATACAAATTCAGTAGAAAAAGCAAAGGTCTATGTTTTACATATAATTGCACCAAATTCACAGTCTATGGAAGCTACTTTGAAAGTACAAAAAAATTTACAAAAGTAAGGTCAGATAATAAAGCTTGTAAAGGAGTTCATAATGATGTTATCCTTGCTGAGGTTTGAAGACCAAAGTAAATCTTTTTAGATTATAGTAAAATATTAAGTACCTGGAAGACATCATTGATTAATTTTACTCAGAAGTTTCTATCCTTGAATTTACACTTTTATAAAAATTATTGATTTAAACTCAACTAAGCAATACTAGGACAGAAGAGAGCAATCAGCAGCTTTCAATTTGGGATCATATTCTGCATGCTCTTATTCCATTTAAGGAGGTTTGTTGAGCTGCTCATCATCCACCTAAGGACTGTAGTGTCAGGTATCAGAAACTCTGTTCTGACAACACTTTAGGTAATCTTAAGAATGCTCATCTTGGCTTGAAAATCTTACACATTCATGACTCCAATGTTATGCTATTAACCTGTTTAGAGCTTTATTATTATGTTTTAATCTCACTAAATAGATATGAAGATCAATTCTCCTACTACTGGCTGTCAGCTATGCTGACATACAGCAGCATACAGCTGTCCTTCCTGCAGCCACAAAGTGATTGCTTCAAAAATGTCTTGTGCCATTATCATAACATATTTATCCTTTAAAAACTTTCTTTCTGCTGCTTTATTTCATACAAAGAATAGAGTTAAAAACTTTATTTCTGCTGCCTTAATTCATACTAAGAATAGGGTTACAAGTGCTGGCCCATAGTTAAATTCTTCACAGGTCTTCTCTGTATCCAAGACTCATGTAACTTTAAAAATGGCCACAAGGCCCCCTCAGAGTTCAGTTATTTGACATGATTTTTGATGTAGAAAACTATACAAAACTATAGTTTTGATGTAAAACTATAGCCTTAGTATAGGAGGCTCTGAAGTAAAAGGAAAGATTGTGGATAAATAAAAACAGGCCTACAGAGTTACACATAAGAGCTATTGGCTGGGTGAATGAATAACCTGAGAAAAAACAAAATTTCCACAACCCTAATCTACATGTCACTTTCTGAATCTGCCAACCAGTTTTATGACCATAATATTGGTATAGTTTACACTATTCTGCCTTTATTTAATTTTCAGCAAACTAAACATGAGGCTTTTCCTAGTGAAGCTCAGATCTTGCTAGAGAATCAGGAGGGCTCAAGTTTCCACTTTGCCCTGAAGGTCCTGTGAGTAGAGGCCACTTCACTTTACGAATGGAGCATGGAATATTCATTAGCAGCACTTCTCCACTGGGGATAAAACAAGGCTGGGGATTGAGTTTGAAGGCTAGACCACTGCCCATTCATATCCCTTATAAATGTGAAGTCATGTTCTGGCACCATTTTGGCCATGCCACTAGAAACAGTTCATATTTCTGTAACTGTGTGTAACTCCAGAGTGAAACACACACATCCATGACCTTTTCATCAGGTGTTTTTAAATGCATTTCTGTTTTTCTTCTTGTGTTTCATATTTAGTTAATGGTTAAATGCTTTGTTTGTAATAATCTACATAAGACACAAAATTAGTCAAAACTTCCTAGATATGACCATAAAGGATGAAAACATATAATTCAAATTCTCAATTTTAAGTTCCGTTTAGCAAAAATTGTATCATTTCACACTTATGCTCTGGCTTTGATAAGGGGTTTCTTTTCCAAACACAAGGTAGAACAAGCAGCTATTGTTTAAGTACACATCTTGTGCCACAGTTTTTGCAACAAAGGATGTGTGAATGAGGTTCCTGTAAAATTTACAGAAATAAACTGGCAACAAGTCCAGAACAGTCACTAATACTAGTGTGTGTGTACCTACAGAAAAATAAATCAAAAAACATCCAGAATATGCAAATCTTCCAGACCACATTGGTATCTGGCCATCTGATCAGAAAAGGAAGGATGGAGTGGTTATTTCTGGTATCCTAATTAACAGGTAGAGCCCATTTACATCTTCAGAACTTCTTCTGTGGCTGTGATGTCAGGAAAAGTTGTTGTCCACTCCAAATGAAATATATTGAATAATGTCTCATAAAATAACTTGAATTCAAATGCCACAACTTCCATATTTAACTTCCAATTATCTTTCTTCAAAAAATGTTTAGAACCATGGAAAGGCCTATTTAATGCTTGCATGTCTTGTCATCTTTTTCATCTAACTATCTTACACAAGAACTCAAGATTTTACATCCAATGAGAAAAAAAGTAATTGGGTTCCATCTTGCAGTAGAACAGTTGCAAAAAACTACACAATTAAGGTTTTAATACTGATCAGCCTCTAAGTCTGTGTAGTGACAGCTGAAGTTAAGTGAAAAAATCTGTTTCAATTTGCCACACTGCATGGAAATTAGAAACAACTCAACACCTACTGCCATCTCTATGAACTGCTGCCCTACTAATAGTTTCAATAATCCTCATTCTTTCTGGCTATCCTGCTGTTATTGATAAGGAAACCACATTCATCTTCATTTGAAAATAGGGTTTTTTCATTGTTTTGGTGAAATTTTTTTCAACACAAAAATCACTGTGGAATACAAAAGGACTTTGAGCAGAAGTTTTTCATTTGGTGATAACATGACAATTTTCTAACACTTGTGAAATATCATGAAAAAGTTTAATGGTCTAACACTTGTGAAATATCATGAAAGAGTTTAATGGTCTTTTGTGAGAACATGAGATTTTCAAGATTGATAACTTTGTATGTTTACAAACTTGTAAAGTGGAAGATATATTTTATATCTCCATAAAGCAATTCTGGTCCATACCTGCATTTATAAATAAGCACTTAATTGTTAAAAGCAGAAGAGTGGTTACAATTTTACAGGTTTTTCACTTATATGATTGTTAAACTGATTCTCAAGTTATAGTGTGTATGGCATGACTATCCCACTCCCCAAATATTTTAATACAAATAAAAGTCTTTGCTCCTACAAAATCTCCTGCGCAAATTTCCTTTTATAGCACACATGCCAAATGTTCTTCAGTCTGGCAAAGGCTATTGCTGTCACTGCTGTGATTGTTCTGGGCAGCTGTGAATTTTGTCAGGTTAGAATCATGAATATGCAGAAAAAGGGTGAAATTTGGCCAATTTTTCTCAGCTCATTTTCTATGTTTTCTATATGCCAACTAAGATTGAAAGGAAAAAAAAAAGAAAAAACCAAACAAAAAGAAAAAATTCTCATTGCATTTTGAAAAGCAGATGGGATTCATCAGAAACTCCTTGGGGAGTTGTATCCCACTCCTCCAAGCCTCATTTGTGACACTTCTCTGTAGCATAACAATTTTTGTACAGAGGCCATGATTTCCAGATGACTTAAAGGATTTCTTTTAGAAAGGCATTCAACCAGAACTTTAAAATTCCTAGTTGTCTAAAGAGTTCATTTTTGTTACTACAAAATCAGAATTTAAACCAAAAAAAAAAAAAAAAAAAAAAAAAAAGAGGAAAAAAAAAAAAAAAAGAGAGAGAGAGAGAAAGAAAGCAGAATAATCTAAGAAACTTCCAGCTGTTTCATTTGCTTATGTCTTTGACTGCTGGGATAGAAGCCTCTGCAGTCAGGAATCTCCTTTTCTTTCAGAAATTCACAGTCTATGATCCTGACAACTTCTGCCAGCTCCTTTACATCACCAAAATAATTTTGAGATTATAAAGGGATTGCATACATACAAGTTGAACTACAATGGGGAGGAAAACAAATTGAGATGAAATTCAGCTGTTTACACCACACTACAAGCTGGAGTCCTCGGTAACAACCACATAAAGTCACTAGGAATTGTGTTTGAATTTGCCCTAAGACTATGTTTGACAGCAAATACATGAAGGAATGAATGCAAGCAGCCAGAAAAGAACCTGGTGATTCATATATGCATTTATACCCACATCATACAGCTTTCAGTATGTTATATACAGTCCTGGTAGGCTGAACTCCCTGAGAATCATAACAGGGAGATAGTGATGGGCAGATGATATTCTAGACCACATCAAGAGTCCCTCTAGTTTGGTGCTTGGCATTCAACAAGATTCAGAAGCTGTTCAAGCATATTGAAATTTCAATACTAATTATAGAAATAAAATGCATAAAGAGATGTTTCTGTCTTACTCTAAAATATTTATTTCCTCCTTTATTCAGGATTACCCACGATTTCTATAGGTTGTTATCTGATTTCAAAGACATTGCTATCAGTGGTTTTTTTTAATCTTTTAATAGCAGTGCCTTATGACAATGAGTTTCACAGAATATAAAAGATGTAGGGAAAAGCTGATACTTACTAGACTTCTTTATAATTTTCTGTCATCTTATATGTTGCAAAAAGAATAAATATGGATAAACAAATTATTTTAATTACAAAAAAGGTTTTGTTGACCTTCAGTAGTTCTTTTGCCTTTTTTGGAAATCTGACACATTTTAAAATCTTATTGCTCAGATATCTTCCTATATCTCTGCTTATTTTTGTGACATTTTCCAGACAGAAATTACTATTTCTGATTTTTTTAGAAGACAGAAATAGACACGGGGACATCAGAGCTGAAAATGTTATGCAATGTCTATGGTTCATTGTAGGTTTTAAAATAACCAGCTGGAATCCAAACTGTTGATTAGGCTGGGTGGGAAGAAGAAAATACCCATGCCATAAAAAAATTGTGATCAACTGAATTTTACAAGATTGAATTTTCCAATAAATTATAACAAGATGTCTCTTGAGTTTACTCTTTTCCTTATACATTGCTCTAAACTTGTCAATGTGGAATTTCATCTTCGTCATAGAAGTTGGTTGAATAAATGTCTCCTTTTCAAATTGTTATTTGGCATTTCCATTTTTAGATATTTTAGATCTAAAATATTTAGATATTTTAGATCTAAAGACATTATTTCAACAGTGTATTTTGCAATCTTTCAGCATATTATATTTTTTAAGTACTTAATTGCTATAATAAAGATAAAGGTCTTTACTATATTGGACTTTCAAGCACCTTCTTACTGTGAGAAAGAATATCTCATGACCTGAGATGTGGGACTAAATTTTATAAAAATGGTAGGTTATTTTCTACACCATTTCACTTTAATGACAAAACATCCTGTGTTTCAGATCTTTGAAGATAAAACAGGCTTGCTTCTTCCCAGTCTCACAGTAGTGTTAGATAATTTGATCAATATATAGAAAAAGACCCGGATTGAACAATATGAGTGTAACTGAAAAAAAAATTATACTACGTTGTATATTTTGAACTTATACATTTATCTGCTTCAAAAAACTTATTATTTTAAACCAATTACTAAACTATGCTGGAATTTAAATATTTACCATGTGTCTGTTTAAATTTCAGACATGTACAGGCTAGCTTAAATTTTGTTTTAAGAGTTTGTTTGGCTACGTTACTTATAATCACCTCTTCTGACTTACTTCTGTCAAGTTATCTAGCACCAAAGTGAAATTCAGTCATTTTACTGTGACTCTTGACTTTCTAAAAGTACAGAGTGTGTGTGGGTCCAGAACAGTTCATTCAATTTAAATCAGCTATATATCTTTGGAAATATACCTTGATGCTACCTGCATCTTTTTTAAAATAATGATTTCTGTAGTTTCTCACTCAATCATTAATTAATAATTCTCTAAATGAAACATGGATAGAAGACCATCACTGTTTTATTCTACATGTATTCACAACTCATGAAAGAAGTTTTTTGATTCCAGGGATTTACTCTACAGTTTCTGATTCATCTTTTCTGAGCTCTGAGAGGATCTAACCTCTATTACTTTCCACAGATTCATTATCACAGCAATCTTTCCAACATCCAGTGTACTAAGACTAATGAAAAGAAACCACATAGTTTGTTTGCAATATACCTTTAGCCTTTCTTACCTCACTTCCGTGCCTGCAACTGTATACTCTTTAAAAACTAAGTTTTAGAGATGCTTTATGCCAATGCATATTCTCCTCTAGTTTAATTTTGTAGGTTGGGTTTATTTCATTGTAATTTCTTATGAACTGGATGGAAAACAATTTTAACACTCACTACATAGATATTTTCTTTTACTGTACTAAGCTTGTCATCCCTGGTTCAGCTACAGTAAGTTTAAAATGTCTGCATGAAAGTCAAAACAATTTTTGTTTCTCATGTTCATTTTTACTACTCATTTTAAAATATCCTTTATTTTGTCACATTGCATTTTAGGTTCTATTAATTTTCTAAATATCCTGAAATAAATTCCTGAAGTACTATTTATTACTAAGTCTTACATACTTACCACCTTAACGAGTTATATCAAAACAGAAATCAAGAGGTTCTCTAAATATTTTGTCTTGAAAATATTTGTTTCCATGACTTTACCTACTTTTCACTTGTAATAAAACCTATTATTTTTAATACAGCTGATGGCAAAATATAAAGATTCTTCTTTTGGTCACCTTCTATAATGTAGACACACTCTCTGTCCGGAGGATATTTGTTGGGGTAATTTGGAGAAGTGAAGATTCCTCCTTCTGCATATTTTGTCCAAGTTCCACACTGCACTGGTCTCTGTCCTTCGGAAACAGTTTGCTTTTCTGTGAAATAACGACATTAAGCATGATATAATTAGCCCAAAAATTATTATGTCCATGTGACACTTAAAACTCTCTCACAAGATAAATACAACAGCCCCTTTTCTGTCAGTGGCCTCAAACTTTTATCTGTGGAGACTGAGTATGATAATTGATCTAGGGGAAAATAAGGCTGTTTTTTAGGGGTACAAACATATAATTCTTACTCAAAATATGTTTTTCAAAGCAAAGGAGAGGTTTGAATGTCTAGGGGAAAATGAATTTGCATTGCTTTTAAAATAATAACCTTCTAAAGAAAGCACGTGCTTGAGAATTGGAAGGCATGAATTTCCCACTCATACATCTCAAAAAGCACAAGCATGTGCTTTATCAGCAAGCTTCATGTCATAATACAGGAATATATCAGTCACAAAATCAGGGCAATAACCCAGAGAATTATGATCATATATATATATGTTGTTTTAAATCTGCAGCATATTTAGTCTATATTCACTGGACAGAGGTAGACAGGGGAAATCCTGGAATCTGGTTCATAGATTATTTTTATCTGTTTGCTGTAAAATTAATAAATAGCTCTGAGGCCAGGAATCACAGTCCAGAACTTGTCTTCTCCTAAGTGAATCCTCAGAGAGCAGAGTCAGACCTTCTTGTCTGCTTTCTTCCCAGTCCTGAATCTCTTGCACTTCTTTCTGCTCTCTGGCAGAGAGACTGGAGTCAAAGGTTTGGGCCAGCTGAAGCTGAAGATCAGGGATCCCTTCCTAAGCATCTTGCTTTGACAAGTAGGCTAAAATGAGATGGATTCTTCAGAAGGAAATATATCTAGCCTGCTATTAAAAGGAAGGATAATAGGTTCTAGACTGGTGTTGCTCTGAATGAGGTATTTCATAACCAAAGAGCTGTCCCATATTACTTAAGCCCCCTGTGCACAGAGTAAAGGTGTTTGAGGCTCCCTCTTAGGATCAACGGATGGAAACAAGCACTTTCCAAGGATGATATTAACCATCTGAGATCAGACTTATACTCTGCAAGCATTTCTTTTTCACCCTGGTGCATATCCAGGCAGAGTATGACACGGAGCCCAATTTCCTGGCATAAATTCCAGCCTGCAGGGACTGTGCATTCAGACACAGGTTCAGACACACACCGTGCTTAGCAGCATCCCCTGACAGGCTCTCCTCACACTGAGCATCCAGGGCTTTCAAGAATCTCTTTCTCTACTCCCCCTGCATAAATGCACCCATGATACCAAATTTCAGTTTTTTAATCATACTTCAACAAGAAAAAAGGTTTTAAGTGTAGGTGGCTGAGTGCCCAAACTGGACTCCCCAGTTTGAAAGTAGGAGTGTTTAATAGTCTTTAGTTAAAGTCAGGCTGAGCCTGATGAGCACCCCTGGATTTTTTGTGTGTATAGAGGCATGTGAATACTCCAAACAAATGGACAAAGGGCAGACACTGGAAGTAAATGAGCTACTAAAAATTTCAAAAACTAAACTAAAACCTCAAATCCATATTTTGGTCTTTACTAAATTTTCTGAAAAAAATGTTTGACATTTACATACCTGTTCCTTTTTTGGTTGCCCCAGACAAATGTAGGATGATTAGACTTGCTACAACTGAAAGAGAAATATGCATTAAATATCACAGAGTGATAGTTTCTGCAATCAAATTACTTGCACTCATCTTACAAGAATACAAATGAAATAGCATTGCTGTAAAGAAAAAGTTTCACTTTTACTTGCATCTTTTAATTGCACATATTGTATAACCAAGTTTCTTCATGACCTATTCTTGTAAGTACTTCTCTTTGCAAATGTATGCAAATAAAGAGGAAATCTTTTGGGTTTAAAACAAAATCCACAGGCACTGGTGTTCCCATCCATTTTTTTTGTTTTTTCTTTAATATTAAGGAAAAACGTTTTTACCAATACCTATTTATATAATAATAGTTCATATCAGTAGTAGAAAAGTGGCTGCTTTTAACAGAGGGAGACTAAATTTCAATGCCACTGTGTGTACTAATGTCTCTCACTCTGGCATAATAAAATTTGAAAATGAGTACTGGGAGTAGGAAAGAAGTGAGAGGTTGGGTTCTTCACATCCATCAAAGCATTTGCAAATCTCTAGTGAAGTAATTTTTTGTGTGTGTTTAACAATCTCATTAATCTAGTTTGACTTGTTGAGAGGGTGTTGCTTGTTGCTTTTTTGCTGCAGTGAACCTGCAGCCCACTTTATAAACAGGTATCTGCTGTCTCCAACCATGATAGGACAACTGTGCCTCTTAGAAACAAATGCAACCCTTTTCTGAAATGGACTTTGACCTGGAGATAATGACTGGGTTTCTGGGAATTTCCAGATACAACAGTTTGACTAGAAAAGACTAAGAGGCAAACCCTTAGTAGAGTCATAATGAGACTAATTTGGGAGATCAAAGTGACTAGCTAGCTACCTGATGAAGAAATCACACAGTGATTTTCCTGTCATCATTCATAACTTCTTTGGCTATCAGAGAAAGTGGAATAGCAAGTGCAAAAGAGAACAGATCCATCATTTCTTGGAGTGCTTAGGGCTTTGCCCCAGCTAGTTTGGCATTAGGCCCAAACACAGTGTCCAGGCTACACTGACCTTAAGGTGGAAATTAAGTTGTGTGCTTATTCGGAACATTTTGGATCAGTCAGCTACCATTTTGTTGATGACTATGACGAGGAACCCATCAATTAATAAAAGTAATTGAATGGCATACTTTCTTCTTATTTTCCCTAAGAGACACTAAAAGCCACCATGGGCTAGTAATTATGATCCTTTCCAAGATGGTGCTTTCAACATTTTCACCTTTTTTATCACAATTTATGTGTCATTTTCACTCCAAAGGAAGCCATTCTCCATATTTCCAGTATTCTGATGGCATTGAGATCCTTATTTCTTTGTCTTTGACCTTTCCCATGTGACAGAGGGTTTGAAGCATGGATGATGGCTGCTCTATTAAGCAGGGTAAGATTGAAATTCTGGGAAAATGAAGGCTTGGCAGCAAACTCACTATTTCTTGGTCAGGCTCACAGCCGCTAAGGACAGATGTTGGCAGCACTGATAGTTAAATCTCTTGCATGTCATGGGCATTCAGTGAGAACACTACACCTTCTGCTTGGATCTGAATGCTACCTAGCCATTCATGCCCTTGCTCTCCTCAGGGATGAATTCTGGGAATACATGCTAGCTGGGACTCTGCCTGCCAACTCTGTCAAAATCCAAAGGCAAGGCAGGAGTCATCCCTTTACTGAGTTGCTCATTTACTTGAGCTGTGTTTCATGCAGTGATCATAATGCATCTATGCTTGCAATCTTTACCAGCCTACACCTAGTTTCTCAATAGTGTAAAGTCGATTGGTGTTCAAATATGAAATCAGCTGTGAGTGTTCCTTCTTCCCATAAATTTGTGGAAGCTAGAATAGGATGCGTGATAACCAAACAAAATCCACATGAGAAGTGTTTCCTTTAGGCAATTCATAACAATGCATATCTGATCCTTACACGTTTATTTCAAACACCTTTATCTGTTAGGTTTCCCCTCATTTTCTATACAGACAAAAGTGAAGTTCAGAGAAGTAAAGAGAGTTGGTCCAAGTCACAGATATATTATTACTAAGACGACAAAAGCCCCACAGGTCTTTTCAGTTCCAGCTGTAACTTCTAGAAAAGAGGTTTCCAAACCATAGAGCTGCTTTCCTAAAGCAGAGAACTTTACTTAAATGTCATTATATTAGCATTTGCTGCTAATAAGCAGTCAAAATAATCTTGATAATAAAGTCCAATAGACAAGCAGAGACTTAGAAACTAAGTGTTTGGGGGTTTTGGTTTTATTCTAGAGGTATAATATTTAACATTTGGATAGATAAGTGAAACACTTCTCTCATGTTAAAAAAGAAAAAAGAAAAAAGAAAAAAGAAAAAAGAAAAAAAAAAAAAAAAAAAAGAAAAAAGAAAAAAGAAAAAACCAGAAAAATTTTCTTGTTTTAGTGTTATTAACAGTAGCACCAAAATATGCAAGTTGCCAGAAAGTAATTAAAATTGTGGTCTTCTTGGGAAAAGCCAACACAAATACATATTATTCAAGTAGACAAGGCAGATCATTTTATTCTATGATCCCTCTACACAAATGCACCCATGATACCAAATTTCAGGTTTGAATTTCTCACGCCTTTTTCTTTCTCAAGCCACAGAAAAATAACAGTGCTTTTCAGAGACGGGGGGAAAAAAGCAAGACCCCAAAGAGATCAACCACGGAATCTTCACTCATTGAAAACTGTCACTTGGGAAGTGTTGGCAGCATAGCAACAATATTGTCATTATCTCGGTTTGGGAATTATTTTAAAGAAGTTTCCACAAAATTTCTTGTTGCATTCTCACTGTCTTCTTCCTCCCCCTTTCCCTCCTAATCACGGGTGTAATTATAATCGTGCTTTCTAGTGCCACTCTGATTACGCATCTTTCCATCTTTTTTGGATCTGTGCATTTTTTTTCATTACAAGCTGTACATTAAGTGATTTATCTTTTGGCCAGGCTTTTAGGAGGCTGTGATTTGGCACAGACGTGGCTTAGCCTGGCGAAGAGTTGTTGGACAAGCAATACCTGCTCATAGCGCTATTGTACAGGTGTGGGCGCGCAGAGAAGTGCTGGGAGGAACTGGGGCCAGTCGAGCCCCTTCAGAACAGCGGACCCTCCGCAAAACAGAGGCGGGAGAGGGAGTCCCACCTCGCACCTCGAGGCCCCTAAGGTCTTGGAAGAGTAGGTGATATATTTCGGTGCCTCCTCGCTAATCCTGGTGGATTTCAGCCGAAAGCGCCGCCCCCGCCCCGCAGCTCTCCGGGATCCGTGCCCGGGGTGGCCGCCCCCGCCCCCGCCGCGGCTCCCGGCGCTGCCCCGCGCCCCCTCACCCTTGGCGGCCGCTTCGAGCCCCGGCCGGGGCCCCACGGCGCCGCGGGCAGCTCGCTCCGCTCTCTCCCGGCGCGGCAAAAGCCGGCAGAAGCGTCGCGCCCAGGTGGAAGCCTCCAGCCCCCGGGAGCGTGCCCCGCCGCCCGCCCCACGGCGCTGGCAGACACCGGCTGCCCTCCGGAGCACCGCAGCGTGGTGGGGGAGAGGATGCGGTGTGTGCCTGGGGGGAGTTCGCCCCCTCGCCCGGGAAGCCTGGGCGTCCCGTTGCGCCAGGAGTGGAGGCAGCGCAGGGCAGGAGCCCGTGCGCGGCGGCGGAGCTCGGTCGGGGGTGGCAAGGGGGAGATTGATACTCACTGTGAAAGAAGCTGCGCCCATGGGTCATGTCTGTTCCTTACACAAGGGGCTTCGGTCTCCACTAATTCCATTTAGATACGGGAGGACTTCCAGTGGCGGGGAGAGGATGGAAGTAGGAAAAGAAGAAGAAGAAAAAAAAAAAAAAAGGAAAAAAAAATGCCTGAAGCCCACACACACAGCAGAGCCGAGCAGCCTTTCCTCTCCCTCGCTCTCCCTCACCGCCTTCAAATGATCACCGCCGGCTCAATCCCATCACACCCGAGCGATCACCAGCACCGCCAGGAGCGGTGCATCGCGGCGGCGGCGGGCAAGGCGGCGGCGGCGGCGGCGGCCCGCGCATCCAGGTGCCGGCGGGCGGCGGCGGCGGAGCGAGCCGAGCCCCTAGTCACCAGTTTCATACAGAACCAAAAGCAGATCGAAGCATTTCCTGCAGGACTCCGAGCCCAGCGACTTCCAGCCCTTCGGCTTCTTTTGATGCATTGAAGAAGGGATTAATGGGTCCGTCATCAGCTCCCTGTGCTTGCTCCTCTGAAGGGGTGGGGGCGGGCGGGAGGGAACCCAAAGAGGAGGGGTGGGGTAGAGAAAGATTTACCAAATAGGGGATTTAGTCATATTTATGTGCAATGAGAACCTTATTAGAGAAGACATCCTTTAAAATCGAATAAATCCATTTTTGCAAAACCCTCTCCCTGCGCATAACACAGTATCAAGTGGTAGCAGCGGCAAGAGGCTGAAAACACATTGCACGGTCTGAAATCCCCTTGAGAATGGATGGAGCGAGAAAGAGATGGACGAGGATGACAGATGCCCCCTCACTTCTCCAGTCCAGGGCGAGAAGCAGAAGAAAACCGTGGAGACTCTTCCATTCATTCAGTGGAGGGGAAGGGGAAGGGAAAGAGGAGGGGAAGGACAGGAGGGCGGCAGTGGTGGGGAAGGAATGATTTCAAAACTGGGAAAGGAAGGGTAAGAGAAGAGGGATAGCTTCCCCTCTCCTAATCAGCTGATGGATCAAACAAAATGCTCATGAGTTCCTCCTTGACCTGCACCTGCCAAAGGGAAATTGAAAAGATTTTCCCCTTTGAGAGACTTCTTCCTCTACACACCCACACCCACGCACGCACAAAGACACGCACACACACTCACAAAAGGGAGCAATAAAAGTTTATCTGCTAATCCTCCGGCCGCAGATACAATGATTACCTCTTCCAATCAGCCCAGAGACGACTGCAAAATCTCTCCCCTTCTCTCCCGCCCTCCCCCCGCGTCTAGGACTTATCTTCCTCCCCAGCTACAACCCATCCCAAACATCCATCCCTTTGACGAGATTGCGGAGGGCTAGTGGCCAGGGCGGGAGGGACGGGGGCAGAATATAGTCGAAAAAACATATTAATAATAAGAGTGGTGAAATGGTCTCAATGGAAAACAAGAGGGGAGGAGGAAGGGATGAACAGAAAGGGCTGTGTCCCCTCTTGGCCTCGGGAGCCGGCCCTGCAGAGCCACGGCACCGGCACCCCTGACTCCCGCAGCGCCGCGGCCTCGGCTCTCCCGGCCCGGGCGAGGGGAGGGCGGCAAGAAGGGGCAGGGAGCGAAGCGCACGGCTGGGGCTGCGGGGAGGGACGAGGAGAAGGGAAGATTTGTGTCACAGAAGTGCAGGGGAGCAGCATGGGATTCCCCGGTTCCTTCGCCAGGCTGGGGAACAGCCGGCGCGGGAAAGCCGCCGACCCCCGCGGGGATGGGGCAGAGCCAGGGGACCCGGGATACCCGCAGCCCCTGCCCCGCGCTCCCCGAGCCGCAGCAGCATCTCGGAGGCGGGGTCGGCGCCGCTCCTCCTTGCCCGCACCTGATGCTCACGCCGTTTGCAACAAGAAAAGTGCGTCTGGAAGCGCAGCCGGGGCAGGGAGAGGAGGGGAGGGCGTGTTGGGAAGGAGGCTATAAGTCAATCAAAAATGAAATGCAGCCCGGTCTGGCGGCAGCGGTGGCTGTGTGCCCGCGGCTCCGCGGCCGGGCGCGGTGCGGGGATGAGCTCTGTCCCGCATCCCGGGATCTGCCGGCGAGATCTGGGGGCAGTGCTAGCATAGGCGGGAGGCCTATTGTCTTCAGGGCACCTTTTAGTGAGGTGGGTACCCCTGCTGCCTTTGGGACAGCCCTGAGCAGCACAGCAGCTATTCTGGAAGGTGAATGATGAGGAAGTCTGGATATTTATTTATGCTTTTTTTATTATTTATTTGTTTATTTATTTATTTTTCCCAGTAAAAAGCTATGTTTTAATAAAAAGCTTCAGTGGGCTTTTTCAGCCTGTGGATGGTCTGCCCCATACTTTGGAATGAAGACTGTATCTGCCATCACTGCTCACGATTGCAGGCAGTCAGCAATAACAGTGTGCACATTAGGGTAAGTCAGAAGTGATCTTGGCTAGCAGGATTCACCCATTCAACCAGCCAGCCAGCCAGCAACCCAGCCAGCCTGACTGAGCTCTTAAAAATCCTGTGGGGTGAGAAGGGCACAGGGTTTTGCTACAGAACTGTGAGTAAGCTCCTTGTAATAAGGAATATAGAAGATGTAAGACTTCATGAAAGCATTCACGTGTTTTGTGTAATCCATCTTGCCATTAGCAACATCAGGTTTGCAGCTGTTAATCTCAATAAACTGTCCTACTCTGCTTTCTAACCCTCTCAGCACTTTCTCTGACCTTCCTTATTCTCATCCACAATGAGTTGCAGAACTTTATTTGTAGAGTAATTGAAAGACACCTGATTTATCCATAGGACAAACTTCTGTACAGGTGTGGCAGACTATCTTAGGGAACAGTAGAGTAACAGCAAAAGGGCAGTGTTGAAAACAGTCGTACAAATGTTTATAGACAGTCAGATGTTTCTTCTGCAGGATGATGCAGACATCCATATGGCTAAGTTTCAAGTTATAGTTACTTTAAAAAAACGGTAATAGAACAAGTATGCACAAAACAGCTGATTTTGCTGTTCTGGGAAATGTGCTGTGTCACATCATATAACAGTGAGCTTCACATTTTTCCTTTTCTGGAACAGGATGTTTTCAGTTTTAAAATTCCTAGATCTTTTATTGTCACTCAATTTTAAGAACACCATTGCAATAGTATGGAGAAATAGAAAGTAGAACATACCAAGTGTGTTTATGCCAAAATGTAATCAGTAACTATTATGGAGGGAGACATCCACAAAATAAATGAGGCATGACCACAACGGCCACTGAGTGTTCTCATTAGCAATGAGACCTTAAGGAGATATCTCAGGATCTACATCACTGAATGCTAAAAGCTTATGTAAAAGTGTTTATAAGCAAGTACCCAGGGTTTGCAATTTAGAGACTGTTCAAAATTGCTTTCTGCCTCAGTAGATATCACTTCTGTAGAGAGTCTGAAACTTTGAACTTCATACAACTACTAAAATGTTCACCACCATCTCTTTTTGGCTTTATGTCTCATTTTGTTGCAAGATTTCTTTATGTGTGTTTTGGTAAATGCTCTTTCTAGTAAACTAGTAACTCATGCTCTTAGGTGGGCACATCTTCCATTACTGTGGAATTCTATAGCTAAATTTTTATATACTTAGTGTGTATTTTTACATTCCTAATTAGCCAGTTGCCAGAACCCTACATTTCTATGATGCAGTAAATTTACAAAGGAGGAAAAGGACTGACATTTAAAAAAAAATGAAATGTTTTAAAAAAATGGGAAAGCCTAATAACCATAAAAAATTATGTCAAATGACATCTTAGTTGTGTTAGGAAGTCTTTGAATTTACTTGGTAAAAGTCCTATTGATTTTTAAATGAGTTTAAAGGTTTTTTTAGGTTTTGCATTTTTCTTAGAGTAACAACATTGGCTTATTTTATTACATGGAATGACAACTACACTTTTAGATTAGAAATGTACTTTCATTATTTCTGTATTTGTTGTCAGCTAAATCTTGTTTTTAAAAATAGACAAGAAAATCCTACAAAATTATATTCCTTGATTCAGTACATACCATTCTTTGTCGTTTTAAACCATCTATTACACAGCAATCTCTTCATATAGCACATTTTGTTGGCCTCTCTCTTTCACATTCTCAACTGAATTTTTCTATTGATTTTTAGAGCAATATGTTTGAACCCAGAATATTTTATTCAGCAAGACATGAAGCACTTCCTTCCTGTTGTCTAACATCTTTAGGCCAATCTAAGACACTGATCAGCCTGAGGATGGTTGGTTTGGCAGAAAGGAGATCGCTCATTTATAGACCAGTTTAAGCACTGTAAAACACCTCCACATCTAGATTATAAGATGAAAAAATATAAGTAGACATGAAAATATCTAACATTTTTGTCCAAAACAGTAGTATACAAACTCCTATTGAGATCTAAATGAAGCACTGGACAGTTTTCTTCAACAGATAGAAAAAAAGCTTTTGCCTCTGAATTGTGTTATGCTGGTGTTTCAATGACAAGAGAAGAAAAGAAAAATTCTGCTTTACTGTCCCCCCTTCTGTGATTGGCCTATATGCTTGGATGTCAAAAACAGAAGTCCTGGACAACTGGCTGAAAGTGGCCCTGTCTAGGCAGGGGGTTGGACAAGACAGTCTCCAGAAATCCCTTCCCACCTCAAACACTCTGTGATGCTTTGAGTCTGTAAACAGTGGGTGACAACGGATCATGAAGTGGGGGAACAGTTTCAGTGAGAAAAAGAAACTCCTTAACATTCAGGACTGACTTGCTTTGCTTCCGGTTGTAGTGTGTAAGAAGATAAGACAATATATCTCGTTTATTTTCTCCTTGAACCAGAGGAGATTATTCAGTCTCTGTTAAAATGGTAAATTAGTCACAGTTAAAAATTCCCCAGCATGGAGGAACCTTAGGTAAATTACTCTATACCTTTCTCAATTAAAGTCTTTCTTGTGAAAACAAAACCTGTCCAGCGTTTGGCCATCTTTTCTTGGCTGCTTTGGATAGTCTTGTCTTATCCCAGCTCTGCCATTGACAACTGTTCTAACTATAGTCCATAAAAACTAAGTGAATTAATTCCTCTTTGTGTAGATAGGATTCAAAATAGCCATGAGTTTCTCCCACATTTTCAACAAAAGATTCTTTGAACTGGAAGAAAAAGCACAGTTATGAAATGGGGAAGGCACAGGATTCCTTATTTATGGAAAGAAATCTATGCTTCTGAGGGTGGGAAGGAAGAAATACGAGAGTGGTATTTCTCTTTATGCCTTCTTTAAAAACATTTTGGATTCTGTGCTGTCATGTGTAATCACAGATGCACTTTTTGCTGCAATTTCTTTGTGAATGATTTTTTTCTAGAATGTAGCAAATCCAAACTACAGTCTCAGTATAACACATACACAGTGTGACATTTGAAAACACTGAAATGAGTCATCAAGCTGATCAGCACATCTACATTCATGTTTAGTTCAGATAAAAAATATGGTTCTAAAATGAATCTCCCAATTGCCCTCACTTACCGCATTTTGGATTGCAAATTGGAGCAGACTTTGAGTGTGAGAAATGTTTTTCTTACAGACAAAACTAAGCTGAGAGATGTGTTCTTAGAGCAATCTGTTTTCTAACTTCTAAAGGACATGAAGCTCCACAGGAGCAGAGTAAAACTAGTGCTAAATAAATACAGGTATAGGGCAGGCATGGAGAACTTGGTACCAACCATTTCACCTTCCAGATAGGCTCCTTTTGCCCTGAATTGCAGATCAACACAGACTTATTCAGTATTTCTTTCAACAGTGCTAGTAGCTGAAACATGAAAAACTGAAATATATTCCATTCTTTTGTGATGAAACACTTACAGAGAGGCATAAAATATACCTTCCTGTGTGATATCAGGATAATGGAACCTTTTACTCCCTTAAAATGACATCTTTCCTCTTATCCATTTTCTGGTCATTCACAAACTGTCTCTTGTAAATGCAGAAGGACTTTGGGTCTGCACTCTTCCAACAAATGTGTTCCTGAATATGGCACATTTAGAACATCTCTTCTGACACAGTTTTCTTGAAAATTGAAGTGTATTTCCATTCTGCAAACCAGTCTGGGGAATAACCCTTAAAT